GCATGGCTGAATCCCAAAAATGATATCTATTTTTTTCAATCAGGTCAGGTTTTTTTACTCTAATTTGATTTTGAGAAATCCCATCTTCTGACTGCATTTTTGTGACATTGTCAGTTCATTTCCGTTAATATTTCTCATCCAAAAAAGTTTGAGGAGAAAACGAAAATTGTTTTCTAACGTTGGAAAAACCCAAGATAATTTTTTAGGCTGTTCCACCGTGTTATCAGTAATCTCCATCGCTCTCTTTCTGTAAAAATGAGGCTTTCTAATATAATTTACAGCCAAAAATTGTTTTAGAAATAAAGAAATAATCTACCAATTTTGCCTCTATTGTTATTTCATGTGAATTCTACCTTTATGGATTTGTTATCATCTTTTGTACAATTATGCTTGTGTAATCATATCAGCGTGCTGTGAGGCTGCTTTTAATAATAAAACAACAACAACAAAAAAAAAAAAACAAGGCTCGTTTCAGTTAATAAGTGTTTGTATATGTTAAATACAATATTCAAATGGAGATGAAGCTAATGGGCTTCTGCTGTATCTTTTATGACATATAAAATAAACGCGACACTGCATGAACGGACTTATTTAGTGGCGCGATTGGTGAAGTGACACCGGCGCCGAGCAACAAAACACTTTCACTTTTCCGTCCTATCCATCCTTGCTTGTCTCATTAGCCTTCATTCCATTACGGGGGCCAAAAACTACATCCAGGCTTGTTTATGTAAAGCAATTTCTGCGCCGCATCTTGTTATCAGCAGAGGAGATGTGCCAGTTGGATTGCTCTGTCAAACCCGAAATTGTTTTTTAATTCCCCGATTATCAGCGTTTTGAATGGATTCTGGCCTCCAAGACCTGTTCGAGACCTACTGGGTTAGGACGGAAATTGCTCACGGCATCAATTGGCCTCGAGACAGGCGAGTCAGACGAAACCTCACAAGTTAATCACAGCACATTGCATGTCAGACTCTCGGCTGACAAAAGGGATTCATGAGCCGTTGATGTAGACAGATGGAATGTTTAAAGAAGTGGTTGAGAGCTACGCTTTTCTTTAACTTGCAAATGTATTCATATTTACACAAAAGAGCAACACAAAGAGGTGAAGTGGGAGACAAAGGTTACAGGTTTTGTTAATTTTTTAATAAATACAAATCTGAAAGGTGTGGCATGCCGAGAAAACCGACTTCAAAATGCAAAAAATACTTGAGGATGGCAGGAAAATGACCCCTGCAGAAACAATGGAAACTCTTCCAAGCTGAAATGACCTAGTCAAAGTTCAGACCTGATTACATTTCAAAATCTCTGGCAAGATCAAAGAAGGGCTTTTCGCAAATGCTTTGTCCACTACTTCTGACTGAGTTTGACTTATTTGCTTAGAAGAATGGGAAAAAAAAAACAACAAAGGTGGTAAAGGTGTCGTCCAAAAAAAACATTCAGCTCTCATTACACCAGTGGTTATGCAGATTTGGGCTCAGAGGAGATGGGTATGAAATACATGCTAGACTTCTCCAATTCTTTTCTTGAAAGAAATTAAAACCGTATTTTAACATGCGCTTCGTAACTATGTGCTACATGTTGGTCCTTCACATCAAATTCCAATAGACGACACTCTAGTTTGTGGATTTGAGTACAAATGTTAACACTAAAAAGCAATGTAGTGGAAGACAACTGCAGTTTATCACAAACACTACAGATCCCATTTCTTTTTCTAAACAGAGTTTGAAATTCAATTGAAGTAACCATGAGATTTTAACTGCAGCAAATGAGGCGTTCAATTCCTACTCAGGAATCTGAATTTCTGAGTAGAAAATTTCACAAAAAGCTGAAGACGTTTTTTAGAGTTTGGTAAAAGAAAAAAAACTGGTCATGCAGGGGTACATTGTTTTTTTAAAACTCCGTAATTTTAAGATTGATTTCACAATTTTTTCCGATAAAACTTGGATAATCTCTGATAAAGTCTAAAAGAGTCATGAATTTGCAAAAAAAAAAAAAAGAAAAACTTATTAAATTTTTAGTGATTAAAGATATAAATGTCTGCAATTAAAACTAAAAGTTCTTAAGTGTACTGAGATTATAAAGTCAGTTGTGAAAGCATGGTCAATTTTTGTACATTTGCAAACTTACCACCTTAGTTGGAGAACTTTTTGGCATTTTTTATGTTGTTGTTTTATTACAATTTTCTTACTGAATATTCTTTTTCTTTGTAAATTCACAACCTCTTGACAGATAATATAAGCGTTTTCCTTGTAAATATGTAAAATTAACTTCTAACTTGAGTTTTTTTGTTGTTTTTTTTGGACAGAAATTTACTTTGCACCCTCACAATGTCTGTCATCGCATTTTGATACATGGAGATGAACTTTTTCTTTACTTTTAATGCTAATTTGTCAGAGCGGCATCAGTGCAGATTTCCCCAATCTTAAAACAACTTTGATCTCAGTCAATTGAGGATCATTTCCAAACCTCACAATTTTTACATCTAACATTTAGTCATGATCATTTCATTTAAAAAGTGTAGCTGTTGTTATAAAATGAAACTTACTATTGGAATGTTTCTGGAACTGGTCCGTCGCTTAACTACTCAGCCTGAACTTTCTGCAAATGATAGAAAATAATCAAGATGGGGTAAGACACTGACTGCCAACAACCTTTCTCCTCTCCTTGCTTTAAAAACTTCCTTTAAAGAAGGAAGGAAGGAAAATTCCCATATAGCAAATATATCCCAAAATATTTAGCTAAAAAAAAGAGCTATTAATGAAATATGTTTTGCAACACATAACAGCAGCTTTGCTAATGAGTTTGAAAGAGGAAGGTCTTTTCTATCATGCTTAGAATCCATTAAGATCCGCCAAAAGACCCATGTTATAAGCTCACCACAGCGTGAACTTTCATTTGCATTTAATAACTTATTTGTCCAAGACCCGATTAGAATGTCGCGTGCTTTGTGCAGCTGATCTACGGTAATGGCACTTGGTGTTTGTGTGAGCCCATTAGGGTTTTGGAGGAGGGGAGATTCGCATCGTCTGCAGGCAGAACCCCGACACGTTTGTGCGTGGTGCAAAAATGTTCACCCCCGGAGCTTCGAGAAGAAACTTTTGATCCAACAAAAGTTGAATTCTGCAAAGTTTGCAATGCGAGCACCCCGGCCTATCTACCTTCAGCATCAGCACAAAGGCAAAAAAAAAAAAAAGATTTAGGGCATCTACACCCTTCGCTTTGATGCCACAAAGCCTCTCCGGGGAGCTACTTCCTCTACAGCGAGGGAGTACCCATCGCTGTGTCCCAGCCTGATACCGATTTACCCATCCCCAAAGGATAGACCGCTCTTAATACGATTACAGAGCAACAAGACTTTAAGATAATTCAATGCGTCCTCCACGGCTAATTTTGAAAAAAGCCGGCATGGATGCCACATCCGCTTATTGTCGCTCCCCGCATGCTAAAGACGGAGAGCACCAAGAGTTGAATTATTACCGCACAATACTGACTAAGTGGGAAATCTCTTTGGACATGGGCGGCCCACCATATGCCTCGATTTAATTTGATTTTCCGTCCGGGGCTTTAGTTATAAGTGCCTCTAAAGTTTCATGTCTCTCTGCAGCGAGAGAGGGTGAAAGGGCAGCTTCTGCTTTGACTTGACTTCAGCAATTAAGAGGGTGAGGTGGGGGGGTAAATAAACCGTGATTTGGTTTACAAAAAAAAAAAGAAAAACACGAACAGAAAACATGGAGCTCTCTTGCAGAAACATGGCAGCATTAGTGGGCTGGAGTATTTGGTGCAAAACTGGATTAAGCTTAATCCTACAGTAAATTCAATTCTCCGGATGCAGATCTCTTGTAAATTTGTGTTTGCAAGCACTATAGGTTTAATCCAATATGGATTTGCAACGGTCTTGACGCAACTTTGGTACAGATCCACGCAAAAGTCTTTGCACCCTTTGAACTTTTTTCGGATTTTGTCCCCGTGCAAACCTGAAATTTCAAAGAATTTTATTGGGGTTTTACAAAACAAACATACATAACTGTAAAGTGAACGAATAAATTAGTAAAAATCTGACAAGTGTGGAGGGTATTGTTATTTGTTCTATTTTGACCTGCGTTTAATAAAGAAAACAGATTTTTTTTTTTGTAAAAACAAACTACTGGAAAAACAAGCATCTATAAATCCTTGAAGATTAAAGACACATTAAGGGGCTACATTCGCTACATAATAAAGGAGTACAACTTCCAAAATGTTCCATTTTTTTAAAAGAACAATTCTTTAGGGTATTTTGGAAGTAAAGGTTTACATTTTATGAAACCAAAATCTTTTCTTCCGTTACTCTTGTATTTAGCTCCATCCATCAAACTCGTCACTGCAGCATGATGCTGCCATCACTATGTTTCACATTCATCACTTCCCTCTTCTATTATTAGCTTGGCGGCAAACTCTAGATTAGAAACTCTGAAGATTTTAGCTTTAATGTGACAAAATCTAACATCCAGAGGGAAGGAGTCACTTTCCTAAATCATGACTCAGCTAAAGGTGACACAGGTCAGAGGGGATGTTTCCTGTAAGCTAAAAACGAGTACTCCCCACCCCCAGGGCAAAAGAGGAAAAAAAAATTAAACAAAATAAAGAGCTCTCTTAGTCATGATGAATAAAACAGCTTCACGCACAGCTGCGCCTATCAGACGCTTGTTGCTGCTGCAAAGAATGCCTTTTTCATCATCGTGCTGCCCTCTGCGGGTCTTCTTCCAGCCTCCTCCTCCCCCACCACCACAAACCTGCCCCCGTTTTCTCCCCCCACCCACCTTCCTTATCATTACCAGACACCCTTTAAGACTTTTAAATCGCGTTTCATTCCCTCATCGAGCGGCAGCACGTGTTTTCACACAAGAATTGTGTTTGTTCTTCTTCTTTAGACTATATTCTCCGCAGAGGTAGAACGTGTGCGCCGCCTTTGCTTTGCGCAAGCCTGATTTTAAGTTCCACTAGTTGGGAAAAAAAAAGAGAGAGAGAGAGAGAGAGCGAGAGAGAGAGAGAAAAGGTTTTGGTGGGAAGATCAAGCTTGTGCACAGCAGCAAGGCTGGATATCGCATGACCGATGCAGAGCTGCAGAGAAAGAGAGAGAGAGAGACAGAGAGAGAGAGGCAGAGAGAGAGAGAGAGAGAGAATCGAGATTCTTGCATTCGGGGAGAAAGCTGGAAGAGCATATTCGCTGATCTGCGCTCGTTTTGGACGCTCTGGCGGCTAAAATAAAGAGGCGCATTTGTCATCCGCTTCAGGTCTGTGCGTACTTGGAGGAAAGTCACGTTCTTTAAGAAAAAAATAAAATAAATAAAAATACTGAAGAAAAAAAATGCATGCGGTAAGCCCGGCGTGATGTTCTGAGATGTGGGATTACAGCGCTCTGTTCTCAGTCATGTCCGAACTTTGGTTCTGGCTGCTCTTCCGAGATGACGCCGCTGATTTCGGCCGGACGGACTCGGAAGCCGCGCTGGCGTGAATGAGATCTCTCCCTCCCTCCTCCTCCTCCTCCTCCTTCTCCTTCTCCTCTTCCTCTTTTCCCGGATCAGACGGCACTCTTAACGTGCGCCTGCTGTATGGAGCCTAACGCGGAGGAGACTTGACTTGTTTTTTTTTTTTTTTTTTAATTATTTATTTTTTTTATTTTATTTTCCTTTGTTTTCTATTTCGCCCAATTTTTGTTGTATCTGCTTTGGCGATCGAGTGAAGGACGGGTGACACCATAGGAGAAGGAGGGGGAAAAAAAAAGACAAATCAATGTTTTCCACTGAGGTTGGAGAGAGAAGACCGTGATTTTCGGGATGCCTTGGCGTTCACACGGATCGGCACGGTAAGATGTCTATGATTCACCCATTTATTCACGCATTATGCTCGAATTCTGAGGATCTTCTACTGTAGGTTGGAACATTTTTTTTTATGGGGATCTGTCCGTGGTGCTGAAATCTCTGTCTGCCCACCCCCTCCCACCACATCCTCTCTCTGCCCTTTACTGCATTAGCGAAGTTGATCCGATTCAAGACAGTTTAGAAAAAAAAAAAAAGGTGTGCGCGCGGCTTCCCTTTACCTTGACAAAAAAAAAAAAGCCGCCCAAAGTTTTGATAACACCC